TTGACTGTACGAGTTGAGATCAACTCATTGTTCTCATTATGCACAACAGTCATCCCCCCTCCCTTTTCGGCACACATTGGACAGGGCTGACCCAATTGCTATCAGAGATGGGGAAGATGATTCCCGCATCTAACCATTTGATCACTTCCTTCTTTACTACCTCTTTCATGTTCGGGTTCAGCCTTCGTTGATGTTCCCTGGAAGGTTTGTGCCCTTCTTCCAAGAGAATCTTATGCATACAAAAGGCTGGGCTGATACCCTTTATGTCTGCCATGGTCCAGCCAATGGCAGCCTTACTTTCCTGCAGTACCTGTAAGAGCTGATCTACCTGCACATCTAGCAAACCGGATGATATAATAACAAGCAAAGTAGAATCAGGGCCTAAGAAAACATACCTGAGGTAAGCTGGGAGTGGTTTCAGCTCCAGCTTGGGTGGTTCCTCTATTGATGGCTTTGCTGGAGGTGTAGCCCTTTTTTCTAGTTCAAGGGACTCGAACTGAGGTTCCCTTGTCCAGAATCCTTGGCCTTCAAGTGCCATGACCCATTCAGCTAACCCTTCACCATCCATCTCTTCTAAATTTGTCAGACATGTCTCTAATGGATCTTTAACGGTCAGGGTCATATCATCTTCTTGCAGGATCACATCTACTGCCTCCACTAGAGAGCAATTAGCATATTCGCTGGGTCTCCTCATAGATTGCTGAACATTGAATATGACTTCTTCATCATTCAGTCTCATTTTTAATTCCCCAGTCTCACAATCGATCAATGCTCTGCCAGTGGCCAAAAATGGTCTACCCAAAATGAGAGGTATCTCCTCATCTACCTGACAATCCAGAATAACAAAGTCTGCTCGGAACACAAACTTCCCCACGTGCACCAACATATCATCAAGAATACCAAGTTGGCCTTTTCACCGTGCGGTCAGCCAGCTGTAGCAGCATCGAAGTCGGTCTAGCTCTGCCAATGCCCAGCTTGGTGTACACTGCCAGCGGCATCAGATTTATGCTGGCTCCCAAATCACATAATGCCTTTGCAAAGGCATAACTCCCAATTGTGCATGGGATAGTGAAGCTACCTGGATCAGACATCTTTTGAGCCATCGTTCTTGTTACTACTGCGCTGCAGGTCTGTGTCAGAGTCACAGTGGACAGATCCTGAAAATCAAACTTCCGTGACATTAGATCCTTCATCATCTTGGCATAACCGGGCATCTCCCTCAGAGCATCCATCAGCGGAATATTCAACTGAATTTGACGCAGCATCTCCATGAATTTCTTGTATTGGTCTGTCTTCTTTTGTTTTACTAGTCTCTGAGGGAAGGGTGCAGGTATCACCCTTTGTGCATTGGTTGCTGGCTTCTCTCTGTTGGAATTTTCTGTCACAGGAGGTGCCACCTGTTCTGCAGCTTTCTCATTCATCTTTTCTTTGCCTTTTTCCTCCTGACTCTACTCAACCACCACTTCAGTAAGCTCTGTTGGTTCCTCCTCCTCTAATGGCATCGGAGTGACTGTCGTATTCTCCTTACTGGCTTGTATAATCTCATGTTCTCTGTCTAAATCTCTCCCATTCCGGAGACTTACTGCCATCAGCTGATTTGGGTTTTGCTCCTTGGGGTTTATGTTAGTGTCTGCAGGCAAGGTTCCCTGAGGATGGTTGTTTAAAGCCATGGACAGTTGTCCCAGCTGCGTTTCAAAGTTCTTTATAGCTGAATCATGCACTGCCAACTTTTCCTGCACTTTGTTATTTGTCCCAATAAGTTGCTGAAGCATACCCCTGATTTCTATCATGTTGTTATCTTGCTGAGGAGGTTGTTGATATGTTAGTTGCTGCTGATTTTGCTGTGGATAGCCCTGTGGTTTCTGATATGGTACTGGCACTATTTGGTTTTGAGGGTGACCCCCAAGTTGTTGCATGTTAGGCCTGTACTGCTGATTTTGCGGCGGTCTCCACTGTTGTCCTCCCTGTCTCTGACCCCCGAAGTTGTTGACATAATTCATATCTTCTCTTGCCCCTTGATTTTCACCTTCTCTGCTCCACGAACACACATAAGACTGATTAATACAAGGTGTACACAGTCCTCCATTTGTAGTATCAACAATGTGCACCTGTTTTGTACCCATCTCATCTATCTTCTTTGTCAATATGCTCATCTGGGTCATGAGTGTGGCCATGTTCTCTGCATGCGAATTATTTGGGTCAAGAGGAACTGAATGCACTATGGGTGCCAGTGTTGTACCTCTAGTCATCCACCCTGAATTTTGTGACATCTTATCAAGAAGGATTTTGCACTCGGTGAATGTCTTACTCAACAGTGCACCTCCAGCTGAAGCATCCACATTTGCTTTTAAATTGTCAGCTAGCCCCATGTAGAATCTCTGGCCGATCATCTGGTCTGGAATTCCATGGTGAGGACACTTCACTAGCATCCCTTTAAATCTTTCCCAAGTTTCTTGCAAGGACTCAGTTGGCTGCTGCTTATACTGCAATATTTCATCAATCTGTCTTGCAGTCTTGTTTGGCGGATAGAACTTGTTCAGGAACTGCTTGACTAATTCCTCCCAGGTGGCAATGGAATTGATAGGGAGTGAATTTAACCAAGTCTGAGCTTCCCCGATCACAGAGAATGGGAACGGTAACAGCTTGATAGCTTCCGGGGTCACATTTGGCTGTCTTTGGGTCACACAAATTGACAGAAAAATTTTCAAGTGCTGCTGAGGGTCTTCAATGTGTGATCCGGAGAACAATCCTTTATTCTGCAATAGATGCAGCATATTGTTGGTTATCTGGAAGGTCTCCGCTTGAATTGCGGGCACAACTATGGCAGTGGCCAAGTTATCAGCTGTGGGTTGTGCCCAGTCATAAAGTGCAGCTTCGGGCACAAGAGGTGCCACTATTCTTACGTTGGGGTTTGCTGGCGGATCCCCAACGTTTCCAATGATGTTGTCTGCGTCACCCATGTCAAATTCGAGCTGGTGTGATTGTTGGAGCCTCTTGTTGGCACGGTTCAATGTCCTGAATGTTTTCTCGGGGTCTGAAAGTCCTTCTAGCAGTTCTCCAGTCCTCGAGGAACTTCTAGGCATACACCTGATTTCCACAAGAGTTCAAACATTAGAACTTCAATGAAAAGATTGGGTATAGAGAAAACTGACTACACTACGAATTTTGTACTTCTTTCAATTGTAATTGATAACACCGTTAATTCCCCGGCAACGGCGCCAAAATTTGATAATGCCAAATTATGCCTTATAAAAAGACACACGGACGTTGCAAATATAATCTGAGTAATTTTGCCCAGAGTCGAACCACAGGGAATTAACCTATCAATTACTCTTGTCGGACTTACTAAATTCATAGAATCAATTTCCCCAAACTCTGTGATTAACAGTTGATGATATTTCTAACAACTAAAACTTAAAATAGATAAACAACTCAAAATTAACTATGCTTGACGTGTAAACAATTGGAATAAGGTCTAAGGTAATGGTTTCCCCCGTTGTTGATTTCCTTGGTTGTATATGGCTTATAACTGTGACTCAGTTATCTCTATCAATCACGAACTCTCCAGCTATCATAAATCTTTCTCAAGCAATTATGATAATTTACTAGACACACTCTCTCAAGCTACGCTAGCTAGATTCTCATTACAGTTCACTTAGATTGCACCCGAGGTATCGTTATCTCTAAACCAACCTCTAAACCCCCGGTTATGACTCTCGTCTATACTCTGGGAGTGATGTTGTTCAAACAGCTACCTAAATATGCACTCTCCCTCAAGAAGATACATACTAAATAGGGACGGATAATTGAGGGCCCTTTCAATTAATCACAAGCAGAACGTAGATGAACAAATAGAGATTAAAACCAATTCAAAACTATATTAATATAACAACCAAGTCATCCCCAACGGGTTTCACCAAAACCTTAGATTCAAGTATTTAGCTACTCATGACAACAATAAAAACTACAAAAAAATTCATAGTCATTGATAGAAGAATAAAGTAGGGAAAGTAAAAATTGTTTTTTTTCCAAGTTGCCTCCTTTCCTCTCTTGCTTCTTCTCAAAAACTCAAACTCCCTAAACTTTTGGACTTGTTAAACATTTTATAGTTTGTGTGGATTTGCTTGAACTTCCGAAATTACCCTTTTTTAAAACTCTGTTTCCGCCACTGGACTAGCGCGGGCGCGCTAATGCCCGCGCTAGTGGGGTTTCCTTCTGTTTTGGACTGCTGGGCTAGCGCGGGCGTGCTAAGGCTGCACTAATACCCGCGCTAGTGGGGTTTTCTTCTGTTTTGGACTACTGGGCTAGCGCGGGCGTGCTAAGGTCGCGCTAATGTCCGCGCTAGTGGGGTTTTCCACTGGTTTGATGCTTTTGTTCCAATTTTCATCCCTTCACTTCAATTTTCGCCCGGATCACCATCATAAGTCCGCATTTGATTATTGAACTCCTGTGAAACATCAAAGTCACCATTAGAGCCAATTTTTGCGTTATTTACACACTTACAACAGTAAAACATCCTTAAGTTAGAGCCCAAACCACTACAAGAAAAACAGACAATAGCGTAGGGAAATATGGTCCCTAATACTGGAATTCTGGTCCCTAAAGACCAATAGCGACAAGTGATATCTGGTCGCCAACCGTCGCAATAGCCTCCGACGCTAATGACAATTAACGACTGGGAAAGTGAACTGGTCGTTAATACTCCTTAGCGACCGGAATATTTCTGGTCCTAAAACCCATTTAGAGACCATATTTATGGTCCCTAATTGGAAATTGTAGGACTTAGTATCTGGTCCCTAAAGAACATTTAGTACAAATATTCTGGTCCTTAATGAAAATTGTCCAATCAATTTCTCATGTGCCACAAACGAGTAATCTGGTCGTTAAAGATAATTATGACCCAGTCCCTGTAAATCATTGTCTTAATCCGTTAATTCTATCAATCATATTCAATTTGCAACTAAAAATAAGGATAAGATAATATAATGATGGACCTTCTCCTTTGAAAACATATATAGAGAAATGCATTACAAAAAGGATAAACATCAATTATTGGCACTGTACAGACACAAAGTAATTAAGCTATATGGTCACAATAATGTGTACATATTCCCTTAGCAAAAAACGTAAATAGCTAATATAAAAAAAAAATATCCCTAGCCTATAATATAAATTTTGTCCAGCATTCCTAGCAAAATGATAGTCAAACAGCTGTAGGTCCTCACAAACTTGCTTCATGTAAACTCCCGTATCCAACTGTAAAAAGTATCAAGAGATTTTCATTAGAAAAAAATGTATAAAAATAAATTGGACAATTGGTTAAATTATTTTTTGTAACTTCACTCAAACAGTAATATAATCACCACTTAATTCCGAAAAAACTATTCATATTGATCAAGGTACACACTTCAAAGATAAATAGGCAATGAGGCGTATCTACAGGGACCAAAATGTTATGTCCATGACTCCAGCAAGCTAGTTGACATATTTTGAAATGATAGATAGATTTACATATATGCTTATTTTCAACTCATAAAGCTGTTTACATGTTGATGTTTCTTGTATAAGGTCATGTAGATTATATTCAACATATGACCCCCTTATCACCCATACTGATAATCATATAGGTCGAAATTAATAGCAGAAAGGAGAGAATTGAAGAAACTTTATAAAATGTACTCTTTCTAGTTTAGCTTTTAGAATCTGTAAGGCAGTACCTCATTCCTTATCTATAAACTAGTACATCACATTCTTACCATATTCAGTATCTGATGTGGGTATCTTTTATGCAAAAACACTGAGGAATCCAGTAATCATTTCATGTTGCTTGAAATGAACTGGCATTTGAGCACCTATAGAATAGTATTAATTGTTACATAAGATCGCAAAAACTAAAAGCAACAAAAAAAATTAAAGCTTTGGGTAAGCTATTACTAACTTGGTATATTCATTCTTCTTCGAAAATAGGTGATGTCGAAGGCTGGACATTTGAATGTTGAGCTAATACCAATTCTTTTAATTGATTCATCTCATTTTCTATGTTTGGCAAGCGATCTTTCAAGCAGTTATTTTCCTCTTGAGTCTTGAGTTGAACAAAGTTCTGACAATAATTCAGTCTTTGAGGAAGTCTCGCTTTTTAAGTCCTTCGCCTTTACGCCACCACCAAAGCCAACTACATGGCCACGAGTCTGGGGTCCAAAGCATTTTTCTACAATCTCTATGCTCGGAAGAGAAGGTGCAGACACCAATTCTTGAATTTGAGCCTAACAAAGTATATAAATAGATTTCTGTCATAATTCATAATATAACTAAAGTAAGGTACATGTTCAATTAATGAAATGCACATGTTTTTCGATTGTTTCAAAACAAAGCAGTAATGGACAAAGAAAGGGTTGTATTATATCAAAGAGAAAAAGCTTTTAAGTCCAAGAATCCATTTATTATATTTTTTATGCAACCATCATATGTCTTCTCTCCATTCAATCTTGGAAGCTACAAGCTATAAACTTTGTGGACTTTGTAGTGCTCCACTCGTTCTTTTTTCTATTTTGCACTATGTCAAAATCAATTTACTTACCAATCTCCTATAGCAGTCCGTAGCACGATATTTTCCAGGAAGTATTTCCTTGAGAACTATGGCCATTTAGTGCTTCGTGTTCCAGGCAGAGGCAGGGGATCTTGGTCTGTCAAATGCACTATTGGAGGCACAAATGCTAAATTTCATTCTGGTTGGAAGGCATTATTGCTGGAAAATAAGTTAAAGGTGATAAAGTTAATTACCTCTATAAGATATATAATCTGGAGTATACATACAACTTCACCTTCATTTACAAGAAAAACCAAAAATAAGAAAGTGTCTACCCTGGCTTACTAACATAATTGATCATCTGCTTATATAACCATATAGTAGTACTACATTGATTTTGAATTTTTCTATGAAGAAAGTAGAGAAAGTTGTCGGATGGACAAGCAACGGTCCAAATAAGAACAAGAGAGTATTGGAATAATTCTCAATTAAAAGATCATAGTAAGAAAATGAAGTCCAAGTAGGTTTCATCAAGTCGATTATCAACAAGTTGCATCCATTGCTTACTTGGAGCCATAACCTTAGAAGGTATATAAAAATTAGATTTAAAAGAAAAGGATAACATAGGCGTCTAACATAAATTATCCTAATTCAACTAATGCACACAAGAGACAAATAATATCCATTTTAGCTGATCAAAATTTTAGTTCATGAACCACATTGTAGATGAAAACTAAACAACTAAATGAGCCATCACACTGATTATCAAGTTCCTTTATTTTATAACCCTTTTTCTTGTTTAACAACAACTGCAGCAGCAGCGATAACAGAGAAAAGAAAAGAAAAAAGATACAATAGCCATAAGTTGAGCACATCTCTTTAAGTTCCATTTATCTTTCTTAACATGGGAAGTTAAGAGCAGGATCATCAACTGATGTATGCCTATAAAAAGAAAATTCAACATCAACTGATATATGAAAACTCAATCAAGATAAAAGACATCCATTACATGTTGTGTGCACAGGCCATCGACCATTTTTATACTCCTATTATAATGAACATTAGACAGTACGGTAATAATGCATATAAATTCATGACTATAACAATGGCAACTAGCTGTAGATATAGGTCAAGCGACCAGAGAACTAAATTTAATAATATTTATCAAGCACTTTGTTGCCTACGAAAATACTGTTAAAAAGTCATTGTTGTAGTCGTAAAAACTAAGGACTACCTGAGAAAGAAAAGGCACAATCTGATGTTTCTAGAGTACCTAATAGGTCAAAAAAGTTCAACCAATTCAACTATTTATAAGAAAAATCAGAACAAATAAAAGCACTCAATAAATTTAACACACGACATATTGTTAGCCCTTCAACCAAGTCTCCGGAAAACTTTTTAAATGCAACCCGACAGTGAAAACCTCAACCCTTGAAGACCTTCGATCTTTGCCCTCCAACCCAATATATACTCACATAACAACGATTATTCAAACAAACAAAGAAATTTTTATCGCAGAACCTTGGTCAGAAAGAAAGAAAAGAAACTAAAGGAAGGATTATATGAAAGATATGGATGATTCAGATAAATAAATGAGAAGTATGAAATTTACTCATGATGTACCTGATATCAAGAATATCTAAAAGGAATAACACCTTTCTTAGTATTCTGAAGAGAGAAAAGTGAAAAAATAGGATTTTTTTTTCCAGCAATATTCACAAAAAAATTACTAAAACTTAAGAGAGTAACAAAGAAAAGCAAAATGGGTTACCTCTCTGAAGTTTATGGGATGATAAAAAGAATTCTTTTTAGCTGCTACTACTTATAGGTCAAGATCAGAAGCAGAAGCACAAATTTAGTAGTAAAACAGAGTTGTGCAAGTAGTGGAGATCCAAAGTTTGGGGTTTGAGCGACCAACAGCTGAAATTTGGGATATGAGCAATCCACAACTGCAATTTGGGATTTTTGCTAGCTTTAGGTCTTTAGGGATTTTTTAGAGACCTTTTTGTTTCGCGCCTTTGGCAAAAAATTTTAGAGCGCCCACTGCTGAAATTTTATTATTAGCGACGGGGTCTTTATGCCCTTTTGTTTCCTTAAAAATAAAAATGGGGATTAAGGACCGGAAAATAATCTCGTACCTGTAAGTGTACCATTACGGACCATATTTTATGTTCGTCGCTAAATTTTGGTCCCTAATAACCCTTTTTCTTGTAGTGAACGTAGGCCAAACTATACAATTTAGCCTATTATCAGACTTGCGGCAACATTATTGGTGGATGAGGATGAAGAAGGATATTGTTGCATGCGTGGCCCGGTGTTTGAATTGTCAGCAGGCAAAGTACGAGCATTAGAGACTTGGTGGTTTGTTCCAGAAGATTGAGATTCCCGAGTGGAAGTGGGAGCGTATCACTATGGACTTCGTTGTTGGACCCCCACGGACTTAGAGGACGTTCGACGCAGTGTGGGTTATTGTGGATAGGCTGACTAAGTCAGCGCATTTCATTTCTGTGGCAGTTTTCTATTCTTCTGAGCGGTTGGCAGAGATTTATATCCGGGAGATTATTCGTCCTCATGGTGTGCCCGTGTCTATTATTTCTGACCGAGGTACGTAGTTACCTTGCACTTTTAGAGGGCAGTTCAGCTTGAGTTGGGTACTCGGGTCAAGTTGAGCACAGCATTTCATCCTCAGACGGACGGACAGTCCGAGCGTACTATTTAGATTTTGGAGGATATGCTCCGAGCATGTGTTATTGACTTTGGAGGTTTGTGGGATCAGTTCTTGCCATTAGCGGAGTTTGCCTATAACAATAGCTATTAGTCGAGCATCCAGATGGCCCCCTATGAGGCATTATGTGGTAGACGATGTCGATCGCCAGTTGGGTGGTTTGAGCCGGGAGAGGCTCGATTATTGGGTACAGATTTGGTATAGGATGCCTTGGACAAGGTTAAGATCATTCAGGATAGGCTTCATACAGCTCAGTCCAGGCAAAAGAGTTATGCCGACCGCAAGGTTCGTGATGTGGCATTCATGGTTGGAGAGCGAGTGTTGCTTCGGGTATCGCCCATGAAGAGCGTGATGAGATTTGGAAAGAAGGGCAAGCTAAGCCCTAAGTTCATCGGTCCTTTCGAGATTCTTGATCGGGTGGGAGAGGTGGCTTATAGATATGCGTTGCCATCAAGTTTACCGGCAGAGCATCCAGTGTTTCATGTGTCCATGCTTCGGAAGTATCACGGCGATCCATCCCACGTGTTAGACTTCAGCACTGTTCAATTGGACAAGGACTTGACCTATGAGGAGGAGCCGGTAGGCATTCTAGACCGGCAAGTTCGTCAGTTGAGATCGAAGAATTTCCCTTCAATTCGTGTGCAGTGGAGAGGTCAGCCTGTTGAGGCAGCGACCTGGGAGTCCAAGTCCAATATGCGAAGCCGTTATCCTCATCTTTTCACCGACTCAAGTACTTTTTTATGTCCGTTCGAGGACGAACGGTTGTTTTAGAGGTGGAGAATGTAATGACCCTAAAGTTCATCTCTTGTTTTAGAAGTCAAAACTGTGTTCTGAGGCCTTAAAAACCTATTTTTGTCTCACCTCGATTTACGTGCGCGATCCATGCGCGTTTCCGGAAAGCTTTTATGTGAAATTTAGGAAAAATAATGAATGTGGGCTTTAAAATTAATTAAAGTTGACTTTGATCAACATTCTTGGTAAATGGACCTGGACCCATGATCGGTTGGTCCCGTAGGGTCCGTAGTAAAAATGGGACTTGGGCGTATGCCCAAAATCGAATTCCATGGTCCCTAGCCAGAGAAAAAGAATTTTTAAAGAAATTATTTGCTGGAAAATATAAAGACTTTTTGAAATGAAATGATGCTTGTTTTTGATGGTATCGAGCCCGTATCTTGGTTTCGGATCCCGGTACAGGTTTAAAATAATAATTAAGTTGAATCTGTGGAATTTGGTAAGAATCGGAGTTGATTTGGCATAAATCAGACCTTTTGTTGAGGAAATGAAAATTTCAATGTTCTTAAGGAATTTCATGAATTTGAGGTTAAATTCGTAGTTGTTGATGTTATTTTGATGATTTGATATCACAAACAAGTCCGTATGATGTTTTTAAACTTGCGTGCATGTTTGGTTTGGAGCCCCGAGGGCTCGGGGAGTTTTGGATAGGGCACGGGGTGATTTGGACTTAGGAAAATTGCAGCTGTGCATCTGGTAATTTTACCCAGGCCTCTGATCTCGCAATTGCGAGATCAGGCTTCGCAATTGCGAAGCGGTCAGGCTTGGGAAATGCGACCAAAGTGTCAATTGGGAACCAAGCCTGGGCAGGCCCTCATCGCAAATGCGACCCCAGGGCTGGAAAATGCGAAGGACCTTCATCGCAAATGCGACGATTCCTTCGCAAATGCGAAGATGATAGGATTTCAAAGGGTCGCAATTGCGAACCCCTGGTCGCAATTGCAACATCTGCGACTTGTTAAGTGGGATTTTGACGGGATTCTTCATCATTTTACAACTTTCGCAAAACCTAAACACCCTTAGGCGATTTTTCAAAGGCTCAAACTTCTCCAAATCATAAGTAAGTGATTTCTAACTCATCTTCTTCAATCTAATCCATCCTTTTACATGATTTCACTTCAAAATCTAGGGGTTTTCATGGGAAATTGGGTGCTTTTTGGTAAAAGTTAGAATTTTTAAATTTTGGGGATTTGGACCTCAATTTGAGGTTCGATTTCAAAACAAATTGCATATTTGAGTTCGTGAGTGAATGGGTGATCGAGTTTTGGTTCAAACTTCGGGTTTTGACCATGCGGGCCCGGGGGCGGGTTTTGACTTTTTGGGGAGATCATTGGGAAATCTATTTTCATGCATTAGAATTGGTTTATTTAGCATTTATTAATGTTATTAAGTAAATTATGACTAGATACACGTGAATTGGAAGTGGAACCGATAGGTAACGCGGTAGTTGAGGCTTAATCTTGTCCGCGAAATCGAGGTAAGTGTTTGGCTTAACCTTAGCTTGAGGGAATAGGAGTTGTGGTCTTATTTGCTATGTGTTAGTATGGAGTACAACGTATAGGTGTGGTGACGAGTATCTATACGTTAGTGTCAAGCATGCCCGTAAGTCTTTATATCATGATTGTGATGACTCTACTATGTATCGATCAGGCTCAAATTGATGATTATTAATATTGAACAAAGCTTATAAAAGTTTCTTGGTAATTGACTATTCTTGAGTATTGGCTCAAGTTGAGTTTCATTTTGTAAAGTAATTGTTGAAAACAAGATTGGTTATAGCTGAATCCCTTGCCGGAATGTTATTGTTGACATTGTTGATTCCCTTGCCGGGATGTTATTGTTGATATTGTTGATTCCCTTTCCGGGACGTATTGTATTTATTATTTGGGTGAGGAAGAGTGTAAAGCACGAAGGGTGATGCCATGCCGATATTATGAGTGTTAATGCACGAAGGATAATGTCGTGCCATGATATGAGAGTTAATGCACGAAGGGTGATGCCGTGCCGATATTGTGAGAAATAATGCATGAAGGGTGATACCGTGCCACGATGATGAGAGGTAATGCACGAAGGGTGATGTCGTGCCGTTTCTGTTGATTCATATGGTGAGGACGAGAGTAAAAACACGAAGGGTGATGTCGTGCACGTGTTACTGTTTCATTATTCTTGTTGATATAGATATGATGTTCATTATGCTTCTTTATTGATGCTTCTTTATTGGTTTATTGTTAGAATTTGATATCCCCCGCAGCATGTCCTCCTCCCATCTTATTCCGTTGATTCCTGTTATTATGATTTTGTTTGTATATGATTTAACTGCACAGGTATATATGATTGTCGTGTCCTAGCCTCGTCACTACTTCGCCGAGATTAGGCTCAACAGTTACTCAGTACATGGGGTCGGTTGTACTGATGCTACACTCTGCACTCTTTTGTGCAGATTTCGGTATCGGACCCAGTGAGTAGCTGAGGTAGCTGGCTTCAGTCCAGGGAGACCAAGGTAGATTTGCTGGCGTCCGCAGAGCCTAAAGTCCCCCTTCCCTGTTTTAACTTTCTGATGTCTCTTTTCATTCCGAGAACAGTTGTACTTTTCTTTTTAAATCAGTATTTGTAGAAATTCGTAGATGTTCGTGAATTTGTGACACCAGATTCGTGGGTAGACATGTGTTGGAGTATTTGGATTTGTTTTAACTCTTCCACGCTTTTCATTTGTTTAGCTATAGTTACTGTTTATAATTGTTTGGGTTGATTGTTAATGTGTAGAACCTTAATAGTTGGCTTGCCTAGCTTTCACGAGTAGGCGCCATCACGACTACCGAGGGTGAGAAATCTGGGTCGTGACATAATTCTTTTCTCAAAATTCTCTCCTTTTTTTGTTGATAATTTCTATTCATAATACTCTCATGAATTTGTTTTTCTTTTCATTTGGTGTTAAGAGGGAAAAAGAGTAGATGAAACAAAAATCAGCTAAGGAGAAAAGAAGAATGACCCTAGAAAACAAAAGAAGACTAGCAGTAATATCGTTGGAAAAAAAGGAATAAAAGCTCTATCACTGTCATCTTAAAGCTTGACATGCATTGTGAAGTTTGTTCCAAGAAATTCAAACGTTATATTCAATTATTCATTTGGGAGGTAACTAAAAAGACATTAGCATTGACAATTTGTAGATTGTTTAACATAACATATAATGTTTTAATCTAAGAAAGTAACATGCTATAATAGGTTACCATTAACTATACACTACAGTTATTAGTTGCTAATCTATGTGTAATTTTATTCATGATGTTTTTGAGACTTTTTAATTACATTAATATTTTTAAGACTGTGGGAAGCGCGGTTAGATTTAATAGTAGAGTAATATAAATGGGCCAAGAGCCTTAACTTTTTATTGTACACATGGCTGGTAATGTATTGAATCATACCAAATAGTAGTAGGAAAATTACATAAGTTGCCATCTAACCTATGACCCAAATCCCCCTTGCACACTTTTT